ACACACACACACACACACAAATATGAGTCAGAGTTAAAAAAAACGTACAAATACATATACAATGCATACTAAATACAAAGTTTGATCCACCACTCTTTTGTTCTTATTTGGTTTCAATGTTATTTATAAATGTATTTAAACATTGGCTGATTTTTCATTCATTTTCAGTTCATTCACTGTAGTTTCCAAAGGAATGCTGTTTTTCTTTAAAGGAAAGTCACTTAACACATACAGTATTCAATGAAACATTCAAACTCCATTAACTACTCACATGAAAAACCTTTTAAAGACCTTTTACACAAACACTGAAATTATGTATAATAAATGTACTGTATTTTTGTGAAAGGTCCAAATCAAAGCCATGCATTTTAGGTGGCTGTAACCTTAATAAAAAAAAACATCTTTGTGATGCATATCATTTGAAATTTCTTTATTGATGTAACTTGGAAAATACAAAATAAATTAATGCAATGCAGAGATGGAAACCACTGGTTAACATAAAAGATTCCCTCCAACAACATTTAACCAAAGATTATAAGTTTTTATAATTTGTGCTTAAAGGCAATATGGTACAAGTAAAAGCAACAATTTTAGTCAGAGACATAAATTGGGAATGATTTCTAAATATGATCATATATTATCAGAATAAAAAAAAACTCAGGATCGGTGTGAATACTCTGTCAAAGTGTCTCTCAGGACGTCCCACTTCCTGCAGGGTCACAGGATGAACGGTCCTTTTAACTGCAGCCACTCAGCTTTGATCTTTCCTAATGATTTGTTTTGGTACTAAGAAGTAGGAATAGATCCGGATTGCTTAAGCCTAATGCTTTGGTAAATACGCTTATTTTAAACCATCTGGTCAGAAGCTGATAGTGCGGTTGTTGGTCTGTGGATCAAAAGGAACCAAAAAAAAAAAAAAAACAAAGTAAAGAAGTAGAGTCTAGAGAGCAGAAAAAGTCTCAAGAGGCCTAAAAATCCAAATCGTTACTCCAGACTGTTGTGGAGAATCAGGCCCGGCACCTTTTCAGATTCATTTAAAACGTAACTGGATTTTTACAGTGAAAATTAAAACTTTCTTCATCTTGGTGTCCATTAAACACAAACGGATCGCTTTTCAACATTATTTAATTCATTTCCCCGTCAATGAGCTGTTGTCTGTCATGTAGTTTATCTTTAGAAATGCAACCACAAGAGCTGCTTAATTCAAAGCTGGTTTAGTCGCTCAGCCAGGCGGCTCTAAAGGGCTCCACAGAAATCCAATTGCTGACATAATGGGATTTTCCAACGAAGCCTTTCTGACAGACAACAAGGAAGAGGAACCTCACTTTAGAAAAGGGAGAAATCAACGCAAAGACGTGCAATCAAATTAAAAAAAACGCAAACAGGAAGACAGTGTGGGCTACAGCCTCGTGCCAAGAACAAATGCTTTACAAATCTGTGACGTGAAGAAGAAGAGGGCCAAATCATTTCCTTCAGCTATAAAAGCACTCAGGAATTTTTTTAAATAGAAAACGTGCCCCGAGGTTCAGGGTTTCATCTCATCGTTTCTGCCTCTTCAAATATTCAGAGGAAGAGGAGCGTAGAGCATCGGGAAAGTGAGCTTCAGACGTGAGAAGAGAGTCACGCGAGGATCCGAAGAAGCAGCAAAGAATGAGCTTGGTTTAAAAAGAACACACACAAACATTTGCATTTTTAATCTTTCATTGGAAAGCAAACAGCTTTCCAGCTGCGACAACATAAAGAACATTAAGGTCTTTTCAGGGGATTTTTTTAAACACTCCAAGCAGTTCAAAAAGTTTACATCAGTATAATAATGTCAACAAAGCAAAAACCAGATCCTGTAAACTTTTATCTTCTCAGTTATTTGGCATGCAAATACCATCAAATTGATTATATCCATACATTTTTTTAATCACAAAGCATACATAAGTAAATATTTTAAATTCCTTCACTCCAGATCATTTTTTTAAGCAATCAGAGGTTTGTTTCCTTTAAAAGTTCTCGCTACAATTCTTCAGATTTCTGTTGTCGCTTTAAAAATACGAGCTGCAGTTTAAGAGCACGCATCAGAGTTAGTCCTAGGATCTGGCATCTCCACACGTGGATGCATTCTGTTTCCAAGTGACACCATTGTGCAGCGTGTACGGTTTTATTAAATATATATTCATACAATTAAGCAGTAAGTATGCTTTTTTTGTTTGTTTGTTTGTTTGTTTTTTTTTTTAGTTTTTAGTTTTTTTGTAGAAAATGTGCACAAATGAAGTAGCAAGAGAAAAACGTGGCCACCCAAGATGTGCATGTATAAGTTACAGCTTGTAAATCCAAAACAAAGACCTCTGATTCAAAAAGTCATGTTCAAGTACAGTTCAGGAATTTAAAAAAAAAGTTTAAAAAATTGACAAATAATCAGTCACAGTGATGGAGAACAGTTCCAAGTTTTTGTATRTAAGAATAAATGATGTTTAAAGTCCAGGAAATGCAAAATGCAGTCAGAGCAGATCAACAATTTCTACTTTTATCAGGTGAAGTGAGATTCTAGTTTAAAACAAACAGACACTAAAATACTTTTAAAGCATCGGTTTTTCCCACCGTCAGGTAATAAAAAAGTCCTCTGTGCTCGCAGGGTTCTAAGAAGAAAAACGTGTAAAGGTAATAAAAGACAAAAATAGGAATTGTGATCTTCTGGGATATGTAAATGAGTGATCGTTGTCAAAAATCAAATCAATCGTGGAATTTTTTTAAAGCATCTTGTCAGGATTAATGGCCTTGCAGAGAATTCCTCATGTCCTTGGAGCGAGTAACAAAAAAAAAAAAAACAGTCACGCAGCGTTCCTCCACTGCAGGGTTTGTCAGCATCTTCACTTTCAGAGGTTCAGACTGTTTGTTGCAGTTCTGAGYAGTTTTCCACAAAAACACAAAAGAACAAAAAGTACACACATCCATCGTTCGCTGCTGTCCAAAAYGTCCCAGTTTGTGGACAAAAAAATGTAACAAAGCATCTCACCTCCTGTATTAAAGAAGCTCAACTGTGTCACGTTGAAGCAAAGCCACGTTGCTTTGAGTTCTGTCTTTTTTTTATTCAATCCTGAGGGTCGCTGGGCCACATAGATGAGAAATGTGTGATGTGATGCCAAAAAGCTCGAGCTCAAACGAAATGTCACGTCAAACCACTGAAAAATAATAAAAAAAATCAGTCTAAAAACAAGTTCATTCACAACACTGCGCAGAAATGTCATCTAATATAAATATAATGAAATGATCAACCTTTCAMTTATTTCCTTTAAGTCTTATTTCTTTTAAGTCTGGAGGAAAAACTCACACAAACTTCTCTTAACTGTATCTTTCAAAACATACATATTTCAAATAATTAAAATAAGTTGACTTCATTTTAGTTTCTGATTGAGAATTTTATAAAAGTGTAATATTTTGTTCAGACTATTGTTGATTATTTCAGGAAACGGGTTTCTGATAATATACAGGGTGAGTCGAAAGTCACAGGACACCCTTTCATTTTAGAAATTAACTGGAAAATAACATATTGAATACTCCAGCAAAAGATGATGGGGTCTATCTTTGGAAAACTAACCCTATATCATGGCAGCCATGTACTGGACATAGCCTTAAAAAAAGGCTGGAGTATTCTCGTGTCATTTTCCCGTTTCCTTCTGAAAGAAAAGGGTGTCCTGTGACTTTTGACTCACSCTGGCAAAAGCAGAGACGCTTACCACTCTCCGGTGGATAGCAGGATGCGGCGTTCTTTTCCGTCACATARAGATGTGCACGACTCCGCCTCCGACAGTCCTGCCTCCACCAGCAACTGCAGAAGAGAAAAGGAGGAGGAAATTGAAATGCAGCAGACCTCCAGGGCTTCACGTTCTTAAAAAAAAAACAACAACTCTGCAGCTGATCGCCAGCGGTGACGCTAAAAGTTCAACAACTTACTGTAAGAAGGAACACAACACCATGATGAGAACGCAGCCGATCACACACAGCACCAGCACGGTAGCGACAGCCTGCTGCCTGTGGTTGGTGGCCACCACAGCGAGCAGGTCTGCGTGYTCGCACCTCAACCCCACGAAACCTGGGTGGCACCTGCAGCACAGAGAGGAAAACCCGTCAGGAGCTCGTTCAGGTTAAATGCAGCTTGAAGTTATAGTCTCGTGGGCTGAAAGGGTTGAAAATAGGCTATGTTTAATTTTGTAAGCACCGTTTTCTGCTGCTTCCACAGGAACAGTATGTTGTTTTTCTCTTATTTGGATTGAAGCAGTGTAGTCTCTTATCTTTACCTGCACTTTATTCTGAAAGGCATTTTAAATTCAGAAACCGTAGCCACCCCCCCCCCCCAAGTCAAGTCATCAATCACGAGTTACACCATTAGATCTAAAGATCTTATTCTTGCCTCTGTGGACAGATGGCAGCATTTTGTTCCAACATAAACCACAGCTCTAGAGTTATTAAAAAGCGCACAAGAGCTCACATAGATTACACAAAACAACCACGGCACATCTGATAAAGTTAGCGAGACGTAATGTTTCCATGTGTGGAATTTACAAGCATTGATCTTTTCTTTTTCCTTTCAAAGCTGAAACCTCGCCGGCAGGGTTTAACTTACACACACGCAGCCGTCTCCTCCAGAATCAGGAAGCGACACGTGCCGTGGAAGCAGAAGTGTTGGTGGGAGTCTGGACAGTCGTCAAAATGAGAGCGAACAGCAGCCGCCACAAACTCTGTGAGGACAACACATCATGTAACCTGTTTGAATTCCGTTACATAACTTTTGAGTGAAGTACAATATCAGAAATATCAGGACAAGTGTAGAACGGAGTGAAAATAGGAACTTAACTGTGCACTAGAGAATTTGCATTTCTTGCAAAAATACAGCTTCTGAAAGATTTGAAAAAGAATTTAGCTGTAAAACCTCAAATTAGCTACAAACCATTACCTAATTTCCCTCTGGGATCAATAAAGCATTTTTGAATTTGAATTGAATAGCAGCTGAAAACAGCTGAAATTGGCAGAAAGCAGCTGAAAGAAACAACAAAGCTTAAAAAAGGCAGAAAAAGCTAAAATGCGCTATATAAAAGACAAAGGCACACAAAGCAGAACCATAACTGAAGGTAAAATGTACAGTAAAGATTTATGAACATTTTCATGGGTTTTAAGAATGCTTTAAAGACTCTATTCATTTTCAATAAGACAAAAATGGACAAATAAGCTAAATACACTGCCAGGCCAAAGAAAGTGTCCACCTGGACGGATGCAGTTGGTCAGGTCTAGGTTCAGCAACAGTATGTGCTCAATGAGGTCAGTTGAACACCTAAATATACTGAATGAACAGGTTATTCCATCAATGGATTTTTGTTCTTCCCTGATGGCACAGTCATATAAGATGACAATGTCAGGATTCGTCGGGCTCTTATTGTGAAAGAGTGGTTCAGGGAGCATCATTTTCACACATGGACTGGCTCCACAGAGTCCACTGAGAATCTTTGGGATGTGCTGGAGAAGATTGCGCAGCGGTCAGGCTCTTCCATCACCAATGCAAGATCTTGGTGAAGAATTAATACAACACTGGATGGAAATAAATCTGGTGGCACTGCAGAAGCTCATCCAAACTACGCTAAAGCAAATGTGTGGCCGTAATCAAAGCTAAAGGCGGTCCAACGAGATATTAGAGTGTGTAACTGTTTTTTTTTTTTTTGGGCCAGGCAGTGTATCTTAAAAAGTATAAATTGCCAAATATTTTGATGTATAAATTTCATCAGCTGGTGTTCATGCTCTGATGCAGGATCAAGAGAAGCGTAAAACCAACACTCACGGTTGTTTCGACCCTATCATCAATTTGCAGTTTTATATTAATAAATACACTCCGTGAGTCTGCAAAATATAATAAATCCTCGGCTGCAGGTGTTCATCACCGGCTAATCAGCCGTAGTCAATACAAATATGGTTTTAACTCAGTTTTACTGGTATTGACCTAAAATTTAGTGTGAAAGTAGCTGAGAGTGATGCTTAACACACATCCCAAGCACTGATGTCCAATAGTTTGTGAGATATTTTGGTAACAGACAAACATAGTTGACTCCAGTTACTGTAGGTAATGCCCATTTTTTAAATACACATCTAGCTCAATTTGTTCACTCCCATATGTGTTAGGAATCAATGGGCCTCATGCAAGAACATGTTCGTATTCTTATCCTAAATTTCTCTTACTTTTGTTCGTACAAAGGGTTCGTACGAACATGTCACGTCAGA